AGGGTACAATAGTGATGATAGTCCTTTCTCTCAGCCCCCAGGAGAATAATCACAAAGTAGGCATCCTGACTTCAGGAGAAAGCTCCACACATTTCAGGGAATGTATGGACTTCTGCTTTGTGAAAGTATAGTGTACCTTTTACAGTTTTTGAAGTGAAATGTCTGTCAGTCAGAAATTCCAGCTCATCTTTCCACATCTGCTTCCACAGCAAGATGTGTACTGTCAGCTGAAAGCATCAATGTGAATGGCACTGAAATAACTCACTACAGGGCAAACTGTCCTGATTGAGTTATTTCACCAAGGCTCATCTTATGTGAGAGAAAAATGTCCTGAGTTATTGCACCAGCGAATAAACAAGAGATAAGCTCTCCTGTGGTGGAGGGAGAAGCCCTGCTACAATGATAACTTCATGGTACATGTACTAAAGGAGCTGGTCAAAGCTCCTTGATGTGTTGCTTGTTAACAGAGAAGGTCTCATGAGTGAAGCACTGATTGGTGCTGTCTTGGCCACAGAGGTCATAAAGCAATCAAGTTTAAAATCTCTGTTGTCAATTGGAGCTAAACTTCAGCTCTGGACAGGGGTGGAGCAGACATCAGGCTGCTCAGAACAGTAGTGAGAAAGGTCTTGTGGGGAAAAAGTTTTTGAAGGTGCAGGGGCCCATCAGTGCTGGTCACCTTTTAAGCATCTCCTCTGAAGGGCACAGGAGATGACCAAAGAAAGCCAGTTGTTGTGATATTTCTCGATTAAAGCCTTCAATATTGTCTCTCACAGGATCCTTCTGAAAAAAAAAAATGGGCAGCCCACAGCTGGATAAACACATCGTGGGGTGGGTGAGCAGCTGGGTCACAGGTCAGGCACACAGGGTGACAGTGAATGGGGTGACATCAGACTGGGGACCTGTCACTACTGGGGTTCCACAGGGTCCCATCCTCAGCCCTCTGCCCTTCAACATCTTCATAAATGACCTGGACACGGAACTGGAAGGGATACTGAGCAAGTTTGCAGATGATACAAAACTGGGAGGAGCTGCTGACTCCCTCCAGGGCAGGGAGAGGCCCTGCAGAGAGACCCCCACAAACTGGGGGTCTGGGCAATCACCAGCCATGTGAAGCTCAACAGGGGAAAGTGCTGGATTCTGCATCTGGGATGGGGCAGCCCTGGATGTATGGACAGACTGGGAATGAGGTGCTGTAAGCAGGGCCATGGAAAGGGACCTGGGGGTCCTGGCAAGTTGAACATGGGTCAGCAGTGCCCTGGCAGCCAGGAGGGCCAACCCTGTCCTGGGGTGCATCAGGCACAGCATCACAGCTGGGCAAGGGACGGGATTGTCCTGCCCTGCTCTGAGCTGGGGCAGCCTCACCTCCAGTGCTGCGAAGAATTTTGAGTGCCTTAATATGAGAAGGATCTAAATCTATTAGACTGTGTCCAAAGGAGCCTGCAAAGATGGTGGAGGGCCTTGAGGGGAAGCTGTACGAGGAGCAGGTGAAGCCACTTGATCTGTTCAGCCCAGAGGAGACTGAGGACAGACCTCACTGCAGTTACAACTTCCTTGTGAGGGGAAGAGGAGGGGCAGGTACTGATCTCTCTTCTGTGGCAATCAGTGACAGGACCCAAGGGAATGGCCTGAAGTTGTGTCAGGATATTTGGAAAGGTCTTTTACCCCAATAGTAGCTGGGCACTGGAACAGGCTCCCCGGGAGCTACAACCCATGCATCAGGGTCATAGCATCAGCCTGACAGAGTTCAGAAAGCTTTTGGAAAATGCTTTCAGGCACATGGTGTGACTCTTGGGAATTGTGCTGTGCAGGGCCAGGAGTTGAATTCAATGAACCTTCTGGGTCCCTTCCAACTCAGGGTGTTTTTTGATTCTATTCTATGAGTCTATTATTGCAATCAAGAGATGCATCTTTTATTTATTAAATAAGAGACCACTATTACATCTGAAATGTGGACTAATTATTCTAAATGCATTGATCAATTTGTTAAGAGCTTTTAGGTAAAAATGTAGAGTCTCTGTTGCTGCCATAGTAAGATTTACCTCACATAGCCATATTCTGCTCACTGATACAAATACCACCTCCTTTTACTTAATTTCAGAAAAACATCTCAGAAGTACTCTAGGCCAAAAAGGGATGATAAACGATTTGAGATAGAAAATTGAAGTCCATTGATTAGAAGCAATTTTTTATGTTTTACAATAAAAAGATGAACCACATGATTCATGGAGACAATTTGCAGAGCAACTTCTTCTCTCTAATTGCTGCTGGTCTAATGTAGGAGCACACTACGAAAATGTAGAGAAATCCATTTACCCAATAATATAATTTAAGCAGTAAAGAGAAATAGTGGATTTTTCCATTACCTTTTATATTAGCTTTGCTACATTCCACCTGTGACCCTTATTTTGAGAGTGCTATGCTCCTTTAAACAATTCTGTAAGCATAATAAAGTTCCACTTCAAAATTTTTCAAAGTAGACTAAGGACATTTCAAAAAAACCCATAATTAAGGACATAACCAATCTCACTAATTTCTGATATCTGCTGTAAAACTAAATTATCTGCTGAGAGGTCCAATAAATTCTCATCTTCAGGAGCAGGAAAGAACATTTTCTGTATTTCCTTTGGAACAAAAACTAGATGCTATTCTCTTCTGACTACTTATTCTGTGGTTGTCCCAGGATCTGCAGATTTTGTTTTTAGTATTGTTTGAGGCTTTGGGGTTTTGTAACAGGAAATAGAGAGTCCTGTTTAAATCAAGATAGGATTTCTTTTCTTTTAGTACTGTTCATGGGATAATAGATGGCTTTTTGCTGCTGGAGAGATAGAAAGCATATCCTTAACTCCACTCATTGTATCAAATCACAGTACACAAAATAATTATCTTTGTGTTCCAGATGTCTGCACTCAGAACCATTTCTATTAATTACTGGAACTGCATTAAAACAAATAACATCAGTAAAAACAACCCTGGTGCAGTTGTTGATTCTGCACCATGCTTTTAAGTTTTTTTTATGGAAATAAGAACTTTTGGAAGATAATTTCAAAAATACCCAGAAGGAAAATGCAAACATATTTGAAGTAAGTATTCTTCATTATTTCATATTGAAAACAAACAACATCAGTAGCAGTGTCAGGTTCCCTAGTAAGCTGAAATATTTTTATACATTGATTTCTGATCATCCCAATGAATGTATGTAGTAAATGCAACGTGTTGTGACACTTTAAAATATTTTCTGTGTTATAGCAATATCAAATTAAAGAATTTATGCAGGAATAACAGCTTGAATTCTGCATTACACATAGAAGGGCCCCAAAAATGTGAAAAAATGTTGCATCTTTTATGGTGGGATAGTTAAGATCTGTACAGAGAAAATAGAAGAACTGAAAATGCCAGCTTATTTCTTTTAATTACAGCAGCTCTATTTATGAACATTAATATAACTAATAAAACTCTCGTTGCACAATGCTCTGTTTTAAAACATCAGAGAAACCTGCAACTTCCTGAAATCTGTATTAATGCTAGCTGCAGTAATTCAAAACCAGTGTTAAATATCAGCTCCTTTTCTAAATACTGATTTGAACACATTATTTAGCTACTGTAAGAGCACGGCTAGCATAGATACATCAGTGTTATTTGCTGATATTTCAGCAGTACCTAGGGTTTTAAAACAGGCCTCATAATTACCTGATTGGGATGTTAGGGAAAAAGAAAGGAGTTCATAAATATAAATTTTGCAAAGACACATTTGAATTAATATATTACACATACCTAAACACAGGAAGTAATTTTTTATAAGTAATTAGTATCTCAAAAAGGGGTCAGTAGTTTTGATCTGTCTGTCTGCTGGTAATCCCACTACATATAAAGGATTTAGTGATGATTTAGACAAAATGAGCTAAGTAAATCGCTCTTGAAAGGACTTCTCCAAACCAAACAGAGCTCATTACCTGCTCCAGGGAAATCAAGGAAAAAGTGAAAAATAGGCTATGATGTCCTTTTTTAACAGCAAGAACTGGATTAACAAAAACTGTCAAGCAGGAATGAACTTGAATTTTAACATCAAAAGACATTATGATAAGCAATTTTCAGATTTGGACAATATAGACATATACATAGATAGAGCTGGAAATACATCAGTATATATTGATACTTTAAGCAAGTTTACTAAAGAAGCAACTTTTGCAAACTAAGAGATACTGTATTTTAAAATTAGATGGTGACTTTGAAGACTGCAAAACCCACATTTTTTTAGTGCTGGAGGTAGTTGTCAGCACTTAATGTCTTTGTGGATTCAGTTGTGGATTTCATAAAGGTTTCCCTTTCTGCTACTGTGATCATATCTTCTTTTCCATTTCTTGCTAATGAATTGTACAGGTTGCAGGGCTGAAATTAGAACCATGTAAAGAAGCCCATTTTTATCAGAGATACCTTAAGATATGATTGCTAAGGGACAGAAGATGGGCCAGAAGAAGTTCCCAGCATAAATAGGGCTCCACTGGCAAAAAGTGCTTTGGTGATTCTACATGATAGATACAGAAATTACACAGCTGTGGATAAGCAAAATTGGCACATCTGTAGGTCATAGTCCAGTTTTGTTAGGGTAAAAAAAGCCTTTCAAATAAACCCAATTATTGTAGGTCTAACTGCATCCACCCTGGGATGGCTTTAGGAATATCTCAAGTGTTGTTATTCTTCAAAAGGAAAACATTCTGTACTTTGACCCTAAAAAAAACCTTTATAGCTGCTTCTAATTTTTTAAGTCATGGGAAAATGCATTTGAAGGGATCTATCATTTTTATCTTTCTTCTCACTTAGCTCTATGCTCATAGGCCCTGCAGGTCCAGCCTGGATGCCTGTCCCTTTCTGCTATACCATCAAACTTCCATTTATTTTCAGCCCTGCCAGTTTCTAGAGTTCCAACTTTTAACATCCGCCCATTTATCGCCATCTTACAGTTTGTGCTCAGACCCTTTCTCATAGCTGTGCAATTTTCTCACCTTAGCTGTTCTTCCGTTTTTCTTTTGCAGGCCTCCACATAACCAAAAGATTTGTTGTAGCATACATGCTTTCAGTAAAGTATCTATAACATAGTGTACGCCTGAGTAGGATGGTAGCGCTCCTCTCTTCCAGCTGTTACGTGGTTACCTGAAATCAAATAAAACCCAAAATCCTTGACTTATGTAGGAAAGTGAGCATGGAGAGAAATTTTGAGAGTATACATCCTCAGGCTTGCATATCAGGAACAAAAACTTAATATTTTTGAGTTGCAATATAAAAAAGTAGTTACTTCTGCTTCTTGGGGCAGAAATACCTCTTCCTGCTATTGTTTTTCTATTGACTTCTTATTCATCACTGAAAATACTAGAACAAGAAGGAAACATAACAGAAAGCTGCTGCATTCTGATAATCTTCATCTTGTAAAATAATCACCCAAAATTTTCTTCAGGATTGTGAACCAAAAGTAGAAAACCAGATTTTTCTGGACAAAGCATTTATTCTACTTGATTTGCTGTATTCTGAAAGGGCAATAAGCTGGAGACAGCAATAAGTTACTGGGGTACCCAGCCCCCTGAGGTGGAAGACAGGGATAGAGAACAGAATGAACCTCCCACAGTCCAAGGAGATATGGTCAGTGACTTTTCTAGAATACTTAGAACCACACAAATCTGTGTGGCCAGATGGAATCCACCTGAGGATACTGAGGGAGCTCTTGAAAGTGCTGTCTGAGCCACATTCTATCATTTATCATTAGCCCTTGTCAAATGAGGGATCTTAGATGACTGAAGGCTGGCCAGTGTGATGTTCATCTACAGAAGGGTCATAAGAAGGATCCAGACAAATATCGGCCTGTCAGTCTGACCTGGGTACCAAGGAAAGGCATTGAGCAGATCATCCTGAGTGTCGTTGCATAGCATTTGCAGGAGTCAACTCATCAGGAGGCAGGTCCTGCTTGAACAAGCTGATCTCACCCTATGAAGTGGGTGATCCACTTAACAAATGAGGGAAAGGCTCTGAACATTGTCTGCTTTTTAAACATTTTTCACAGCATTCTCCTGGAGAATCTGGATGTTCATGTCTTGGAGGCGTCCACTGCTCACTGGGTTAAAAATTGCCTGGATGACTGGTCTTAGGGCATTGTTGAATGGAATTACATCCAGCTGGTGGCCAGTAACTACAGGTGTTCCCCAGGGATCAGTATTGGGACCATGCCCTTTTATGTCTTGATCAAGGATCTGGATGAAGGGGGTTAAGCACATTTAGTAAGTCTGCAGATGAATTAATCTGGGTAGGAGTGTTGATCTGCTGCAGTTTAGGAAGGCCCTGCAGAGGGGTCTGGACTGAGGCTGAGAACAGCAGTATGAGATTCAACAAGTACAACAGTGGCGTGGTCAGCAGAATCAGGAAAGAGATTGTTTCCTTGTATATTGCCCTGATGAAGCTGCACCCTGTTTTGGGCACTCACAACAAGAAGAACATTAAGGGGCTGGAGTGTGTCCAGAGAAGGGCAGCGGAGCTGGTAAAGGGTCCGGAACATAAGTCTAGAACCTGAGGAGTGGCTGAGAGAGCTGAGGGTGTTCAGCCAGGAGAAAAGGGTAAAAGAGAGAAAAGAGAGAAAGCAGGGGAAACCTTATCACTCTCTACAGCTCCCTGACAGGAGGGTGCAGCCAGGTGGGTGTCAGTCTCCTCTCCCAGGCAACCAGTGACAGGACGAAAGGTATTTTTTGCTCCAGAAGTTCAGATTGGATGTCAGTAAAAATTCCTTCACTGAACAGGCTGTCAGTTGGAACAAATTACCCAAAGAAGTGGTTGAGTCACCATCCTTGGATGCATTTAAAACATGTGTAGATGTGGAACTTAGGGAAATGGTTTAATGGTAGATTTGGCAATGCTGGATGAATGGTTGAACCCAATGATCTTGAAGGATCTTTTCCAACTGGAATGAGTCTATTATACTAAGTAAAGCATTATTTCATATCTTAGGGTTAGAATTAAGGGTTAGGGATTATGGAGTTTGGTTTAGGGTGTTACAGTTTTGTGTTGGGTGTTATTAGGTTTGGTTAGTGTTTCCTTGTATTATGTTTTATGTTTTTACTATTACTTACTTAAAAGTTCCAAGTGAGTGTAGCGAAACAGTATAAGACCCTTCGGTTGAAAAAACACAATTACTAAAATAGTACAAATGATAATAAATTTACAATTCAAGAACAAAAACTGGAAAGAATATGAGAAAAAGTAGTATAAGCAGTGCACAGAATGGTAAGGTCAGAAACTGGAGGACAGGATTACATTATTGTAAGGTTTCTGTGCAATTGAGGTACTTGTTTTTAACAATATACTAGTTCTGTGTATTTATTTCTCTAACCTAGTGAAGATTTTCCTTAGCTATCCTCACTGAATTTGTCAGTTATCAAAAAGATATTTCAAACAATACCGTAATAGGCACTTCATGTAGCTTTGCTATGAATTCCAAATTATTATTAATTAATATTGTGATGATTTATGTTACTTATAAATGTTCAGTAAGTGTTTTAAATCAGTTTTCATACTTTGATTAACTTGTGTGGAGATTTTTTTTTGCTGGGTTTTTTGGTGTTGTTTTTACAGTTCAAGTAATACTAATGATGTGTGGATTGTGGCATAAACTGTACTTGTATTAGATTGTGCACATACCAGGTTTTTTAGAAACAACTTGACTAAGCTTTGTGTGGTAACTGAAAGATGTAAGAATTTCAGAAAACTAGGAATAGATCTTACATTCATAAAATAGTTTTTCTTTGCACATAAGCGTTGCAGTACCTGAATCAGTCATGATAGACAAGAAGTACATTTTAACAACATTTTATATTCACTAAAACCTGTGATTATCTGTGTCTGATTGTCTCATTTTCTTGATTTACAACTGTTGAGTGCAAAGATACAACCTGTGGCTGAGGATGCCCACAAGCCTAAAATTGCTGAAAGAATCCATGAGATAACACTTTCCTCTTGCCATGCTACCCTCCACACGTAGTACTAGACATTTTCAGATAAAATACTCTACTACATGGGTTATTGATATAAATCTTTACAGGCTTTCTTTATTGCTGGTTATTTATTTAAAAAGTAATAAAAATTTCATGTGGCTGCTCTACTATTCCACCATAAGTTAATATTTGAATTCTTGTGTATATGTTGTTTACAAATGGTTTTCTATACACCAGAAGTGTGGAAAATCCCATTTTGTGTTTACTGTATCATTGATATACTTTAGTAATGTATTCTGAGAACTCATTGGGATACATGGATTGAAAATTCTCATTTAAAGTTGAATAGTTGTTTAGCAACTTTAAAATTTAATTAGAACCCTTTCCTGCATTTCATTATGAGGTTATTTCATGATTACTCAGTAAATAGGTCCTACCTGTTTACTAATGCAGAAATGACAACTCATGACACTGCTGAATTACAACTGCACAGCTGGAGAAGGTACTAAGAGAAATAAATAAATGCATTATTTAAGAAACATTGGGAAAAAGTCAGCATCAAGAATCCTTCCTCAATCTTCACCCATTCTGCCCTTCACTGTTGTAAATAGTGCTACAAAATTCAGCATGGTTGTCTATATTCTAATTAGAACCAGTTCATTATTTACTTATGCAGCTTAGAGGAATTGGGTTATTGGTACCTAGAAGAAAGCCATTATTCTAACCAATGGAAGGATGGGTGAAATGCTGCAACAGACCCTGTACTCACTGCAGTGAATTTAGTCCAGTGAGTGAACAGGATGGTGTAGAATTGGGTTCAAAACACACCAAGACACACCACATTTTGTTTTTCTTTGGGAGTAAAGTCCTAAACATACAATTTCCTTTGCTTGCGTGATACCTGCATTGCATGCTCCTCTGAATTCTGACAGGAAAAAAGAAGATAGCACCATGATTCCAGACTGTTTAAAGGTTTATTAAAGGTAATGTTTTATTGGGATAATAGTTGGACTGATGATCTTAGTGATGTTTTCCAGCCTAAACAATTCAATGATTCTGTGTTACTACCTCTCAAAAAGACAAGCATTTTGTTATTACTGTAATCTTATTTTTGTACTCATTCACAAAACTACAGTATATACTTTAACACTTCTGAGAAATTAGAGTTCAGTGGAATACTTATGAGAAAATAATGATTCACTGTGCCTTCCTTTCTCTTTTGGTAGGAAAATTTCAACAAGAAACATGCTGTAGATAGTAAGCCCTGTCAAATTAAGCAATTTATTCCAATTATTTTGTATACCTTCACTATTAGCTTTAATCATTATTACCATGTATGTTTTTAATTCTAGGCTGCTTTGCAGTTGAATTGGGCTTTCTACAATTACATATAGATCACATATGTAACAGAAAGCTTTGATTTTCTCTTTTCCCCTTCTTTATTATTCTTTTTTGCTCCCAATAAAGACATTATTTGTTTCATGAAAGAAAACAAAGGATACAGTAAGCTCTTTCCCATTTTGATATTCACAGCTCTACCTCTTTGCTGCCTTCCCTTCAGTTCTTGACTTCCCTCTTCATATATTTTCATCCTATTTTCTTGCTGCTGACTCCAAAGGATGCCTGTTGCTATCCTTCAGCAGAACAGTGGCTATGGCTCCACACACAAAAAACTGGCACATGCATTTTCCATGTCCCTCCCCCTGCTTCTTTCCACCCCTGCAGCATTTGCTCCTTTTTACCTCAGGGAACTAATTCAAGCTAAAATCCAGCCCAACAACTTCAGAGAACTTTTAACCCAGCAGCTAATGGTGATGGTTTTGATTGTTTTTAATGCAGACATAGAAGATGGCATGCAAGCATGAAAACTGGGCCAGGAAGGATTTAATACCTTCTTTTAGTGGCCAGTATGGTTTATACTGATCTAAAGCAAATGCAGAACTGAGCTATGACGTGATCAGGTCATTTTTTCAGTCAGCCAAATTCTACCTAAAATTTTAGGTGCAACATGGGGTGTTATTTTATTAACTAGGGTTATTGCACAACTTACTCTAAAAATGACACAAATTATATCAGTTTACACATCTTCATGCCAATACCACAATGTCCAGCAGTTCTCAATCTGTGTCAATTGTACCACAAATAATTAATTGCACTAAACCTGTTCCCCATAAAACCCAAACACGTTCACTTCCTGTGCCTGAAAAGCACGAGGTTACCCAAAGCATCTGAAAGGTTCACAGGCTTCTTCTGTAGAAATAATATACAAATTTTTGATTTAAACAATGTTCCAAATGGGTTAAAAGACCCATAGAGCAGCATGAAGCTTTTGGCAGATAAGTTCTGCCACAAGAGTGTCCAAGAAAAGTTTTGGAACTGTTATTGGACACTCAGTGCACACCACTAGAGCAGCATCAAGCACACCATATGTGTAAAGCACATTGTTTCCTTGCCTAGGACAGCAACCTTAGTTTATTTAAATATACTTTTCTACAGAGACCAAATCAAATTAAAACCAGTATATGATGCTTAGGCTTTTTTAATGTTGCTTTTTTTTAAGCTTTTGTTTTTCTTCCCTCCAATCAAGTACAGAAGAATCTTGCTAAAATACACTTTCTTTAAGATACCTGACTTTCTTTTCACCCACCCTTTTCTTTTCCACTAAAAAATTCTCCTTCTCTAACAATCCCTTTCACTCCCAAAATGAAGTCAGAAACAGACACACCATTTCCCACTAGCAGAATATACTTCTGTCATGATAAAAATTTGTTTTGCTTACTTCCATCACAAAACATCTTTCTTAAACATTTAAATGCTTATTATAATACATTATGAAAGTATTTCTCAGGAAGATGTAAATTACACTGAAGACATACTACTGGATTCTTAGATTCAAAACTATTCACGAAATAATGAGTCTTCATAAATAACATAAACTGTGGATTTAAATCAGTTTGTTAAGATTATCATAAGATTAATATTTTTTCTTAGCACATATGTTCATGTATGTGCTATTCAAATTTTCATGTAGATGAGAAAAATGCTTCTGTAAAGAAAGCTTCCCACTACAAAGAAGCAGCAACAGAGGCTTTAATATTTAATTTCTATCTACAAGCTAATGGTTTTGTAAAAGTTCCATCAATACATAGTATATGGTTGAAACATGTCAGATTCTCTGTCACATGGATAAATTACTAGTAAAAAATATGGAAAACTTATAAATATGTACACATGCTGTGTTTTGTATACTTGTTTCTGTCTTTGCAATGTGATTAACAATCACTACTTATGTATGGAGAAATAGCACTGAGCTGTCAATACTCACAATTATGCTACCTCTTTATTTTTGTACATGTACCCAGGGCCTAATTTACTGATTTATTACTATAAAGGCCATTACGAAGATATCATTAGATCAAACTAACTCCCAATTCTATTTTTCAAATAATAGAAATGGAAGAATGGTCACTGAATCAGGAATTTTAAATACATTTGGGAAAATGACAGTCACTTAACCTTCTATCAAGTGTCCCTTGATAGAAGAAAACCAGACTTTTAGGGCTTTTTGGTCTCTTGATTAGTCATCGTCCATCACCAATATTAGACAGTAGATAAAGAGTTTGGCTGGAGATTGAGGATTATTTCACACTATGCTTTCTTATTTTACATTAAAAGATTATAATTCATATTTTACAATACTGGTATTAGAAAATAAGGTCATAGATAAAACATAATGTTGATTTTAGAAATATCATGAGCATTAGCCTCATGTTCTTCCATGAACAGGCCCTGTAAGTAAGACACCTGCTTTTCTCCTATTTTGTCTTTGCCTACACTACCCAATGTGATCCCATAGCACTGAATGGCTGATGCTTGCCTTTGTATCCGACCACCTCTAAAACAAAAAGTAAAATCTATGTGGAAGTGCTCTTCCATATACTAACATTTATTTTAAAGTAATATATTATTTATATAGGTCCTTACTGCACATAAGCTTGGCAGAATATTCTCAGCAGCTCAAACAAATGTTTCAGTATTTGCATTTGAGTCACCCATTTGTAAATAAAAGGTTTAAGACAAAAAACATGTTTTCATAGAAAGGTATCTAATGAAAGATTATTTGAATGTTTTAAGTTGCAAGTAGATCCTTATTTACACTTTCTACATAATGGCACTTTCTAGTTTGGAGAAAATGTATGAGGGAATTACACTAACAGTTGGTACAAGGGTGTAAATTACTTAAGCATATGCTTAGGCAGTCAGCAGCATTAGAGGCTGCTGTATTTTTTGATGATAAATGATAGATTTTTGTTTAATAGCAATAATACTTGCCCAAATGTTATATATAGTACACATGTGTTAAATTATGATTGTACAGTAATTATAAATATAACAAGAGATTGTTCTAGGAGCAGGAAAGTCAGTTGTGAATATTTAGGTTAAAATTACATTTATTTCCTAAATCCCGTTAGTGGAGCACAACGCTTTAATTATCACAAATCACAATCTTTTCCATCACAGATTTTTTCAATATAGGTATATTTTCACCTTAGCATTTATATGTTTATTTTAATTTGAAGAAATACTTTGTGAAGGTTGTTATTCTGTCAATAATTTAAAAATAAGAAAAGACTTTAATCTTCTGCAGTTAGTGCTACTATTGCATCATTCTTGGACTGTGATTATCAACATAATAAATCCTTGACCCTTTAAGCAGAAATAATAATCTGCTTTTCATAGAATAATCATAGAATTGCCAAGGTTGCAAGGACCCTTTAAGATCATCCTGTCCCACCATCCAGCATTACCCCTGCAATAACCCCTAAATCACTAAAGCACACCACCCAGCAAGGGTCCCCTCTGAGCCTCCTCTCCTCCAGACTAAACCCAGATCCCTTAGCCATTCCTCATAAGACAGGTTTTCTAGTCCTTTCACGAGCCTTGTTGCTCTTCTCTGGACACTCTCCAGCACCTCAAAGTCCTTTTTAAAGTGAGGGGCCCAGAACTGAATACAGGACTCAAGGTGTGGCCTCACCAGTACCAAGTGCAGGGGCACAATCACTGCCCTGCTCCTGCAGGTCACACTATTCTTGATAGAGGCCAGGGTGCCACAGGGCTTCTTGGCCACCTGGGCACACTGTTGGCTTATATTGAGCGGGCTTCAACCAGCACCGCCAAGCCCCTGCTGCTGAACAGCTCTGCAGCCACCAGCCACTCTCCCCCAGCCTGTAGCACTGCATGGGGTGGTTGTGACCCAAGCGCAGGATGCAGCACTTCGCCTTATTGAGCCTCATGAAGCCGTCCTTAGCTTGAGTCTCTCCAGGTCTCTCTGTAGAGCTTCTTCCCCCCTACAGAAAAGACTATGCTCATCCTAGAAGAAAATTCCAATCTACCAAGTATGCAAACAAAAAGTTGTTTAACGTATCAAGGTGGACTATACCAGCTAAATTGACTGTATTGGATATCTCTGAAGTTTATACAAGGAATTAAGTGAAAAATCTAATTCAGTGTGCAGGGAGATGCTCATTCAGCTTCGAAGAAGCATTAGCTATGGAATGTCTCCCAGCTCCAATCTCCACTTACCATAAAGGTGTTCAACGAGGCTGAGGACTAGATGCTCTCTCTCAGTCAATTGATTTTGGAATTCCTACTGCTTTTTGAATAGCCACAGAAATGAGGCAAATTTTCTTTACCACAATGACTCTGTGAGAGCTCCCCTGGTACACAGGGAAATGGCCTTATCCTGAAAAGTCTCTAATCTGTTACTCCTTCTAGGAATATCTCTCTCAGTTCACCCAACTCAGCTCATCTCTCTGGTTTCTGTCGTATTACCAATTCAGATGGTTTTTGGAGCCTGCATTTTGCCGTTTTTTATATTAACTGAACTTTGTTGAAGTCAATGTTTGTTTTGTCCATGAAGATAATGTAAAAGACGTTTTGGTATTCACTTGCCACAAAGCAGTAGGTTATATATTACCATGGCTTTTTAAGTAGTATCATCTAGCCAAAAATGTTCTTTCAGCATCTGCAGTGCCACTACAGTAAAACTATTTTAAAGCTAGCATTAATTGTGACTTGTATTACAGTAGGAAACCTGTAATACAGCCTAAATAACTTACAGCTTACAAAGGCAACACAGATACTGGAAGAAGCAGGTGATGCATGAGCAGATGACAAGAAGCCTACTAACCTTCCCAAGCCTACTAGCAGTGTCTGTTGAAAGGTATTACAACTTACTGTGAGTAATGGGACAGGGAATGTGGCGATGCTGACCAGATGTTGAGGGCTCAGTGACCCACATCATGTCATGGCTAACCTGAGCAGGCAAGGTCTGTGCTCTGCACAGCCAGCGTGGCCTTCAGGCTGTATTGGGCTGTGCAAATCTCTTGGTGGTGGGAAAAGCTCAGGCAACACAGTGGTGGAGGAGCCAGTAGGCAGCTCTTGTCTTCACAAAACTCTCGTACCAGAGCTTATGCCACCTGCACAGCCTTGCCTTCATCTGAAATTATTAGTTCTAATAACTAGTTATTGGGATATTAGGACACAAGACAGATGATAGACTTTGGACCTGGTTAGCATAAGAGATTTGATAACAGGATGCCTTGGCGAGAGCAAACAGAACTTTGAGAATTAAATCAAGATTGCAAGAAGATCAAATCAGAGATTTACTGAAAAAAAACCAAAATTACATCAGACTTCTGCAAGCAAGAGATATTTAAAATGCATAAGTTTATGTTATTTTTAACCCAAGCATTGTAGTAAAACATTACTTGTGTTCCTAAAATACAATATGAGCAGTTGTACTCCACAATAAATTTGGACTCTTTGACCACCTCAGAGTCTTCCCTGTCTGTCCTTATTGCTGATAACTTTAGTTTTAAATGGCATTTTAGAGTCAGAGCGTTCTTTCTTACTGAAATAATATGTATCAGCACCTCCCTGTAGCAACAGAAAACTCTACCCTGCAAACACATACAACTCCCCAAGGGATGAGAGGGGGTGCTTGTATCCCACAAGGACATTCTCAATGACACTGGAAAGATTACAGCAGTACCTGATAAGTGGTGAAAGGCAAGTGCCACACCAATGTACCAGGAGGAGGATCTAGGGAATTACTAACTTGACAGTCTGACCTCAGTCCCAGCAGTTAGAGCAAATCCTCCCTAAATCCATACCTAGGCACATGAAGGTGATGGTATTCTTAAACAGTCAGCACGTGTCAAGCCTACAATGTCATGTCTGCCCAAACAAATTCCCTCTAGAAAGAGTTGTCTGATTGTGTAAATAATGGGAAAGTGGTAGAGAAACTTCCACACATGGCAGGGAGGACCAAGAAAAGAAAAGAAAGCAATGAGATATAGAGAACTAGTACAGCACTGGTTGGACACATGAACTTCTAGAAATATAAGTGCAACAAAGACAAATACAAATTACTTCATCCTTGTAGGAAAAACTCCATGCAACAGTATGGGCTGGGAAACAGCCACTTAAGGAGCTTTAGAGTAAGAGCTGTGTGTACCTGTGTGCAGCTTAACAGAAGTCAGCTGTGTGAATTTGCGGTGGCAATAACCATCAGAGCCAGCAAGCAGGTCCCAGAAAGAAGCTGCCTTCTGCTTTCAGCACTCATGAGGCTGCATGTGGAGGGTTGTGTCCTATTTAGCATTCACCAGCGCAAGAACACTGCTAACAGTGAAGCAGGTGACCAGCAGACACTGCCAAGGTGGTCAGGGAGATGGAGCACGTGCCATTTCCTGGAAAGGATGAGAGCCAAGTTTTTTTAGCCTTAAGAAAAGAATCAGAGGCTGAACAAATTCTAACAGCCACACACTGCAATTTCACCCTGTTAGAAAACCCAGTACAATAAGAAGTTTTTAAGGAAAAGAGTATAAGTGACAGACTGTGCAATATACATTTAGATGAGCTGGCGATCTGTAAGGAACTTACAAACTCTTCTGTGGAATTCACCAGTTGCAATGTCAGTTTACATTCATCCTCTCATTTGCTGTTACTACTATTGATATTCTGTTCCTTCTAGGAGCATAACACCAAAGAATTGGATCTAAAATGAGAGGTGTTACCTACATGTTAAAGTCCTTTCTGCCTTTCCCTCTCAGATAAATACCATTTAATTTCCCTTGCCACCAGAAAATTCAGAAACATTGTACTATAAATCATTCTTTCCTCCCTATAGCAAAAAGCTTAAAGTTATTACCTTTTTATTCAAAACAGGAATGTCTGAGATTATTACAGCAAAACATCAAGAAATAGATCTTTATATTTAGAACCAAATGTTATGTTTATGGTTCCATCTAAAAATGTTGCAGTACCATGAAAATTTCTGCTTTTGACATGACCTGAAATATATAATTCTTCTACTGTGAACTTGCATTACTGATCAGTCCAGAATTTCTTTTAGGAAACCCCTTAACATTCTTCACTCATACTTTGAAATTACATTATCTCAACTAGCTGATGCTTCCTGAGAGCACTGCCTGCATTCAACAAGGAGGTTGTTGCTGGGTTATAATAACATGCACATTTGTGGCCAAACTAATATCCAGTAGGATTAGACTAGTTCTCAAGCTGTTTTTTCCAGCCTACTCTATTTGAAAATCTGTCATATTTCTTGGGCCAGCCATGGCCTTGTTCTACAGTTTGAGGGAATACTTTGAAAAGAACTAGGGCACAGCAAAGTTTCTGAGAGCCTTCTGTGTTCTACTAGCTTCCCTTAGTGACAGAGTTTTTAAAGGACATTCTGATGCAGGTACCTGGCACTGCCATAGCACATTCATTGGTTTCATTTTCTAGAATAACGATAAGGCAAGAACTGACTTTAATTGTTAACAGGGTAACATCCATGTCCCTGTGTAAGAATATATATTGACACTGAATTAATTGGATATTTTTACTGTGACATGTGACTGGTGCTTTTCAACAAAAAAAGGAGCTTATTTTCACCATTAAAAGGAAAACATTCTTGAAGAACACAGAGTCTGAAACTGCAGTCAGATATGCTGCAAGTGCAGAAGTCTACTTAACACCTGAAACAAAGATAACAAGAAGAAGTTAGCTGGTGACATACTGTAAACAAGAGACGACAGAAAGTGCAAAGGCTGCCTTCTGCCAGAAGGCTACATGTAACTTGTGAGAGCAGCTGCCATGACAAATGCCTTCAGCAGCTGCTACAGGAGTGCTGTTGCACTCTACAGAAATGTGGCCATACCTCTGCTGGGGTAGCAACGTGTGTTGTGAATTCAGCCTGTAAGAATGGTGGTTATGTGAAGGGCTCTGACACACACCACTGCCAGGTACAGTGAGGCAATATATGCACACCATGCAATACACACAGCACCAAATCATTATGAATGGTAAGAGAAAAGTTGATTCTGAGAGTGGACAAAGTGGATAAGGCAAGAACCAATGACTGCTATGCAGAGCTACACAAACCATTTTCTGTTTGACATCAGCTCTTAAATAAGCATGCTCTCTCAATATAACTAACTGAATTCCTTTTCTTGTTGGAAAAAACTATGCAATATTTCTCATTAATTCTAAAAGATTGAACACAGATCTGGAAACCTTATACACCAGAAAACTGTAGTGACCTATCTGCAAAGCAGTCATGCTGTAAACAGCTTTATTGAGATCTTCTCGCTTGCACTGGACCACAGGCATGACAGTGGCTTTCCAGAGAGCACGTTGCAAATGAAGACAAGGACAATGGGGGAGAGGAAGAAGGTCACACAAGTAACATTGCCTTTAAGGTGGGCAGGTGGGGGAGGGAGGAAGATAACAGAAGGCACAAGCAGTTATTGTAGCAGAGATGGCTAAATATAAATGCAAAAAAAGAGGGGCAGGTGTGACTTCATCATCTAAACCAAACACAACATGTAATTTGATTTTGCAGTTTGAATAACATGACTCTTGCTTTGCACAAGCAGAATAAAAATCTGTGGATTATTTGTGCCATCTGAAGTCTGAAGACTTCTATCCTCTTGTGTGCTAAAACAAAAACTTCAAAGGAAGTTTCCTAACTCATTATAGGAAAAATATTTCCACAAAACAGCACTGAAGGTTTACAGTCAGCTCTATTAACTTCTGCAAGGTTTACATGAAATGAAATTTGGTCAGTTTCCTACTAACAAGCAATTTTTTCTGAAACTGTAACTCAAGATCCAGTAATGTAGGTTCCAGACAGGCAAAAGCTTTTGCTGTTACAGTTTTAAACAATGTACTGCTCCCAAAATCCTCAGAAAATAAACCCAGAGGTGGCTCATGAGGTTTTCAATTTCCTCAGGTTCTCTTCAAAGTGGGAGGGACAAGGAAAGAAAGGGACACAGGGATGGTTGTATTTATAAAAAAAAGTCTAAACCTAAACCCCCTTACACCTCAAGCATAAAACCCTCAAGATGTCCCATGCTCTACCTTCCTCCATTTTTACCTTACTTGGCAAATCATCTCTAGTTTTCCTTGGAGTCTTCAAGCATGGTTCTCAAATTGGGATTAAGCAGTAAACTGTATTGACAACTTGTCACAGCAAATCTCAATGGCCTAACAGAAATTGTTCAGAGAAAGAAAAGGCTTTGAAAATATATAATGACAGGTCAATTAAAAAAAAACCAAAACAAAAGAAAACAAAAAACGGGCAAAGGGGAAAGAATGGGAAGAAGCTAACAGAAGAAGGAAAAACTTACTAAAATAATTTCTTATACTCTATATGCTCAATAAAATATTTCTTTTTCTTTCAAAGTGACTAAGCAGCATCCACCAAAATTTAAATGAAAACTTTATTATATTATTTTAGAAGCAGAAATTTAAAAAAAATCAATCAAAATTAAAACCAGCAATAAGTATACTATACAACATGTGCACAGCAAAATATTTGACTACGCTGTAAAGGTTAGTCAAGTAACTATAAGAGTTAATGAATGAGTTCCCTCTGGTTTCAAAACTACTAGCAATGATTAACATTAATGTGACAAAAATAGAATCCCCATATGTTATGGTAATTTTCTGCTAATAAACACCTTAAAACACTTGGCTTTCTTTTAAGTTATTTGTAAAAAAATATAGGGTTTTTAAATCTCCTTTTTGCATAGGATTGGATTTTTTTCCCTCACACCTGAATATTTAGAAGACAATCTTTCTTTTCTCTATACTTTAGGTTTTTGCACAGTGAATATAGATTTGAGTCTTCAGATTGGCATAGGCAGAAGGGACTGTACTTGCTTTAATTTATTAAACTGATTTTCTCCAAGAAAAAACTGAGAGTCTCCTGCACCTTTCTTTTAAGAATCAGGTAAGTGCCTGCAAAAGTAAAATAACAAGATGGTTTGTTCATTGTTATACATTTATTGACAAATTCTGCTACTCAAGATTACCAGTCTAGAATGAGCAGGATTTTGCAGAATGAAAAAGTCAAGACACAAATATTCAAAATCTTTTTCCAATACTGTCACCACACAAAGCAATCTGCCCAGTTTTGCTCCCATGAGTCATCTCCTTGTCACTTTTACATTATAATTCCTGATAAAAGACACGCCACTTAACTCTAAGTTTAACTTTCAAGAGTTCTTCAAGGGAAATCTGACTTAAACATTTCCTAATCTACAGTCTGGAATTTTGCACATATTATTTATTCAAACGTTTCTTCAATTGTTCTAGATGCCTAGCATCAGCATCCTGGAGAATTAATACAGTAGCTTTAGACTGAAATGGATTAAACTCAATGGTCATCAAACAACAAAGATCTATCAGCTGTTTTTGACATTTCTCTAAACCATCCTTAAGTTTTAGACGTAAAGCAGGATCCTTTTTCAGCTTATTAATTTCAGGCACTGAAAAGCCAATGAAACTTGTTAGAATATCATCAGCAAAATCTACTTCAAGATAAGCAGAGCCATCAGAAATTTTTGCCTTTATACCCCAGGACCCATTGCTTTTTGTGAGGTTTCCAGTGAGAGTGACAATAAAACATTTAACTTTCAGAATTGTAACAGTTTCTGGGTTTTTTGCAAGGAGAAGGGAAATATATGTGAAAGGTGGAGAATCTAAATCTAAATGTGTCTCTACTGCCTTGCAAGGAAAGATCTGTGAATCATGTCTTTGCTGATCTCTTTCTGGATCCATTTTTAAGGAAAATACAGGATCATCATTTAATACCCTGCTGTCAGAAGTGTGTTGGTGTTTACATCTGCTCTCATCTAGGTCTGTATAATTCTGCCCCTCTTCAGGAGGAGTTTCCAAAGAAAATGCTGATGAACTGCAGGTCTGATATAAGCCCTTGTGTGGCAAAATATTACTAATGCTATTTCCATCTTCATCAAATATTGTTCTTCTCATGTTCTTTTCATTGCTGATAGCTTCCCTGGGCTTATCTCTTTCATTCACATGCTCTTTTTCACCAGTGCCATTTAAAGATGAACTGCAGGAGTTTCTAGATGTATGTGGAAGTCTGCCAGTAATTAAACCCATGTTTCTGTTCATCTCCACTGGTGGCATATCTTCCATCTCTCTTTGCATCTCTTCTTCCAGAAGAAAGTCATCTTCTAAAGGAAAGTCACTTGAAAAGCCATCAGCACATTCCATGGGAGGTGAAACTTGTTCATCTGAGTGAGGTAAAGGACTCCCAGATTTTTGCAGCAAAAC